TTCTATGATAATAAACATCTGCCCATCAGTTAGACCTTTCTGCCTGCATCAGTCTTATGACACCGGCTCAATTTAAATTCAAATAAAAGAAGCTAAAATTGGGTGTTGTAGGGACCCTACAGGGAGAATGAGATTTGTCTTGGAGGACTTGGCTGTGCCTTGGGGTGAAGGCTTCGGAGTGCCTCAGGTTTTGTTTTCCTGATCCCGCGCGGGGGAAGATTCGGTGCTTTGGTTTTCCATGTTGAAGTGGTGGGGGAAGGTGCATGGGGGTAATGGGAAGCACTGGTGTAACTACACGGGATTCTGCAGGTGCTTTTCCTGCTTTATGCAGCTTGCATTGTAGACGTTACTTCTTCACTTAGTCACATATGAATGTTAATGGTTCTAGATTCAGTTACACACCTCTTGTTCTGATCTCTTTTTGTGGGTTTTTTAATTTCCTGGGGTAATCTAATGTGTAGCTACTGCCTACCTGTAACAGACCAGATCAAACCATTCTGTGCATGTGGTTTCTGCAAGGAGTTTGTGATTAACAGCAAATGTGATGCTGCATCTGTTGGTTTGTGGCAGTAAAATTCCTGCTTGGGCTAGGATAGGGATAGGGAGCTCTGTAGGTGGGAGGGAAGCGCTTCAGAGAGCAGTCAGGATTTCTCAACAGGCAGAGAATACATTTTCCTCTGAAACAAAAAGCTTCTGTTACACTGAGTGGATGTTTACAGTATTTCAAATAAAGTAGCATGGCCTTTATTTTCTGTTAGCGTATTTTCTGTCACTGTAGGAGTATGGACAGAGCAAGCAGTAAATTAGGAGTCCGGTTCTTCCAGGGAACCAGCGTTTCAGAAAGTACCTTCCAACTCCCTTGGGCATTTGTGTTTTTCACTGCTGGTCCTCTCTGTTGGTAGCTTCTGGGAGAGGCTGCTGCTGCTCTGCCTGCTTTCAGGCCCCTTCCTGTTGACATATTGTTCCTTTTTTCCCAGATTAAACCAAAGTTTTTATAAACGGGTTAAAAGATGGGGGTGGCTTTAGTGACCTCCAGTTAGAACATACTTTTTTCTCTTTGCTTTTGGGGTGTTCAAGAGATTCCATCAAATTTGCTTAAAGAAGTTAAGTTTCATTCAGCACTGAAAAGGAAGAAAATGTGTGGCTTTGGAAAGGACAGCATCAGTTACAGGTCACTGTACAGGTCACACATTTGTCCTGTGACATCCCCAGTAACACAGCTCAGCCGGGTGGTGGGAAGTGGAGGAAGACCAGAGGTAGCAGCGGTTTCCAGCGCTAGATCGAGGCACAAGTGACTGCATCTCCAGATTAACAGTTCTGCGGGGTGAGGTGTTGTCAACCATACATGCACTGCTCTGAAATAGCTGAGAGGTTTTTATTTTAAAATGCGTTGACTTTTTTCTGTTTGATAAGGCTGTGGAAGATTGTAAATCGGTGTGAAAGTAGATTTTTCCCTTTTTACCCTTACTTTGGAGCAATTGTTAGTCTCCTCAAAAACCTACAGTTGGCAGAACATGAGCTTGATAAGAACCTCTAGTTTCTGGTCTTCATTAAAGAAGTGCAGAGCTTTTGAAGCACTCCTTGTAGGGCTGGGAACCCTCTCGTTCTGTGTCCGAGCCCTGACGAGCGCAGTGGGTGCTGGGTTGAGAGCTGGGACACTCTGGTGCTGCTGTAGTACAAGTAATCTCTGATAACTGTATCAGTCTTGTATTTTTTTTTGCTCCTTCTAGCACATAACATGCTGTTTGCTAATGCCCGTGTTTAATAAACTTAATTCTGTACGAGAACTGTATCTCTTATGCCGCCTTACACAAGTGCTGTCAGGATGTTGTGTTTGGGGTTTTTTGTGGCTGTTACTTATCCTTATTAGTATGATTTTCCCCCCCCCCCTCACTTTCTAGTAATGGCAACCTACACTTGTATCACTTGCCGTGTGGCTTTCAAGGATGCTGACATTCAGCGCGCCCATTACAAAACTGACTGGCATAGATACAACCTGAAGCGTAAGGTTGCTGACATGCCTCCTGTCACTGCTGAGAATTTCCAAGAGAGAGTCCTAGCCCAGAGAGCGGTAGCAGAAGAGCAGAACAAAATCACTGCCACTTACTGCACAGTTTGCAGCAAGAGATTCTCCACCTTCAATGCCTATGAGAATCACTTGAAGTCCAAGAAGCACCTGGAATTGGAGAAGAAAGCTGTTCAAGCTGTCAGCAAGAAGGTGAAAATATTAAATGAAAAGAACCTGGAAAAGGGGCTGGCCCCAGAGAGTGTAAACAAAGATGAGATGAACACAGCTATTCAGCAAGCCATCAGAGCTCAGCCGTCTTCGTCTCCGAAGAAGACGCCTTTACCTCCTAGTAATGCAAGCAGCTCTCCAGTTTCTACAGGAAGCGCCAGCTTATCACAGAGTAGAGAACGATCAGAAAAACCTCCACGGCTACAGTGGTTTGAACAGCAAGCAAAGAAGCTGGCCAAACAGCAAGCAGAGGAAGAAGAGGATATGGAAGAAGGTAAGGCAATAAACATACTGACAAGAGATAGCTTGGGGTAAGCTATGTAGTTGTTGGTTTTGTGTAAAAGCTGCCTCCTATTTCTGTAGTCATACAGCATTTCCATCACAAAAGGTCTTCCTGTTGTAAATTTTCAGCTTAATGAAGGAGTTAAGGTTGGCCCATGCTTGCAGTCAGGGACTATGTGTTAGTGTCTGAACTGCCAGCTGCGCAAGATTCTAATGCGTGTGAAGGTTGAATGTAAACAATTACTAATGTGGGCACTATTTCCCACATAAAATTCCAGGGGAAGTTTCCTTTAAGGAAGGCTAACAAAAGGTTACCCTAAAACTACTTCTGAAAAACAGATGAACAAAAATCCAATCATGATCATTTGCTGTTGTCCCATCAGTCACTTCACTGATCTGTTGAAGGGAGTTGGGAGTGGGGTTGGTTTTGTTTTTCTCTGCCCATCAAGACTGGAGGAGAAAGTTTGCTCCTTAGCCTGACACTGTGTGTCATAGCTTCTCAGCATGTTGGCATCTATATTAAAATTGGTTTAAGAGTTGCCACCCCAACTGCCTGTTCCTATTGCATCACTCTCACCACTTGTGTGGATACGGCTCTTTGTTGGAGGTCAGCCTGGAAAGTGGACAACTGAAAAGATCAGAGCTTCAGAATTCACTGAAAAGTGTTATTTTTAACCTGGATGCTTTTGGTGCTGTAGTTACAGTGCAGCTCCCAGCGCATCTATTGGAGCGGTTGAGTGGGGTGATTAAACTGCAGCAAGGGGACAGGTATGAATGAAGTGGGACCATACTGTGCCAGCTTCATTACTGAAACCATTGTGTCATGTTACTACATCTGTTACAGCAGTTTTATGCTGGTGAAATTTCAGTTGGAATTCAGGGAATCTGTTCTACAGAAGAAGAAACAAACCTCTGAACATGCATCTTAGCATCTAAAAAAGGAGCCAACTTGCACCTGTTTTTTATTAATGGGTTAGTCATAAATTGTAATGCTAAAATCTCAGTAGGCTTCTGAATGTTAATTTTCCTTTTAAGTGTTTGTCCAGGAACGTTTCCTGTAAGTCCTGTTAATTCAGTGTCAGGCTTTTAAAATTACTAAACTGTATCCTATAGCAAAGATCTCTAATTAGCAGCCTACAACACTGGGGAGCACCATGTTCCCTGTGCACATGGCAGTTGGAAGGGGACAAGTAGGAACAGAGTGCTGAGAAATACTCACTGCCCCAGATCTGAACCCCTTAAAAAAGTTTTCTAGACCCCCCTAGGAGTATAATCAGATTGCTGGTTCGTCTATTAATTAAAGAACTCTGCAGTAATCTTGCAAATGTGTAAAATTGTTAGTGTATCTCGGTGTACACTAACACATAATGTAACATAGCATATATGTGACAGCTGGCTTTGTTCTTCTCTGTTGTGAAAGATGTATGTGTGGACAGGAGTGTGTTTTCCCTCACTGCTGCGTCACTGCTGGAAATTAATATTGTCATGATTCTGACAGAGTTGTATTGTTTTTAATGAGCCATGCGTGTGTTCTTGCGCTGTGCTGAATTAAGTTTAAGGCTTCAAAACAGCAATGAAGTGTTAATAGTTGAGAAGATGGAGGGGAAAAAATACCAGATCTGCCAACTTTTTTATGAGCAGACTTGAGCGTTGCTGTGCATCTTACAAAGAAATGTCTTTTACTGGCAATGATATATTCTCGCACCTGGAAGTGACTGTGGGGCACTTAGCTGTAAGAATAGAAAATGCAATAGTTTCTGTGATAACTTTTTCTAACTTAATTGGGACTTGTTTTGCTTGGGAGAAGTAATCATGTAAATAAATATTTTTTTGAATTTCCTTTAAAAGACTGGGAAGATATGGATTCTGATGAAGACATCGGCTCTGAAGAAGAGATGGAAAGTGAGGGAGAAGAAGGTGAGGAGCAGGCAAATGCTGAAAGCTTTCCTGCTGTTGGGGCCATACCGGTCACGGACTGCTTGTTCTGTCCCCACCATTCAAGATCTCTCACAAAAAATGTGGCACATATGACAAAAGCTCACAGTTTCTTCATTCCAGACATAGAGTACCTTGTGGATCTCAGAGGACTAATCAAGTACCTGGGTATGCTTGTAAATGTTCTCTGACTTTTTTCCTCAGGATAATTATATACTGTTACTGCTTATTTTCAGTTGGATATGCCTTTAAATGTTTTGGGGTTTTTTTTGTGTAAAATCTGAGTGCTGTCTAGTTCAATATTTTGATCATGAACAGCACCACAGGCTTTCTGGGGAGAGTGAGCGAAACCCCACTGAGCAAACATGTGGTCATGTACCCTGAGGTCTCACGTAGTTTTCTAATGTTGAGAAAGTTGTTCAGCTAACATGAAATTCAGGACAAAACTCTCTTGCTAAAGTGTGCATATGAACTGCGTGATCCTAATGAGTCACAAGTATTTGCCTCATCGTTTTACAATACTTGGGAGAGAGCTAAAAGCTAGGAAAAAAAATGTATATTCCTTGAAGTCTACAAGTAATGATGAGAATAAAATAATTTTGGACTATCAGATAGAAAACTATATTGGAAGTATGAAATTGTTATTGAGAATACATAATGATCCATACCTTCTCATAGATTGGGATATTAGGAAACATTTCTTCACAGAAATAGTGGTCAAGCATTGGAACAGGCTGCCTAGAGAGGTGGTGGAGCCACCATCCCTGGAGGCATTCAGAAAACGGGTAGACGTGGCATTCTGGGACATGGTTTAGTGGGCATGGTGGTGTTGGGTTGATGGTTGGACTGATGATCTTAGAGATCCTTTCCAACATTAATGATTCCTAGTTTTTCCTTTCATTAAAAAATAATCCAGCCACCAAGCCAGGAAATATGAAATTAATTATTACTCTGCCCTTAATTGGTTTAGTGGTGGACTTGGTAGTGTAGGTTAATGGTTGGACTGGATGATCTTAAAGGTCTTTTCCAACCTAAACGATTCTGTGATTCTATATGAAATCTTTAAATGCACAGACTTGTCCCTGATGGAGCCATATTGTCAAGGCATGGGGACAGCAGGGCTTTTCTGTTTTCTTTTCTTTTTCTGTTTTCTGAAGGGCTCAAAGCTCTTCCTTGGTCTCTCTGCCTGCAAGCTGGAAAGGCTACATCACAGAAATGTTAATTATTGACTAGGGAGGCCCTATTCAGACCAATAGAAGTGTCAATGTTTTCTGCAGGAGAGAAAGTTGGCATTGGGAAAATCTGCATCTGGTGCAATGAAAAAGGGAAATCCTTCTACTCTACTGAAGCAGTACAGGCTCACATGAATGATAAAAGCCACTGCAAACTCTTCACAGATGGAGATGCTGCCCTGGAATTTGCAGACTTCTATGATTTTAGGTGAGGACGCTTTTCTTTGAGTGGAGCACAGATGGGGACAGACAAAAGGACAGTTGAATATTACATCTGAAACTATTATTCATTCTTAAAAATCTAGTCTTGTTTCTGGTTCTGATACTTATTTTGCATAGCTGGTTCACCGGTTTTCTAGGTAAGTGTAACAACACAATTGGTTGTGTGTTGTGTGACCACAAATACCAGTCTATATGAAAATACATTTTTAATTCTGTTTTGTATGTTTGCTGTTACTGAGTTTAGATTTCAGTGCACTGGCAAAGACCATAAAAGGGCGTAACTGTCTTTTCCATTACCTTTTAGGCAGATTGTGGGCTTAATACCTACTGTGGATTTCTTTTTTTTTTCCCTTAAGTAGCTGGAGTTAAGCAGGACTGCTGTGATTTAGAGGCCTCTCATTGAACTTCCTGTAACTTATCCTAAGCTGTGTTCATTTTGGTCGGAAATACCTCCTGTTATGGTGACAGGTGGATTTAGTGGAGCTTCTTGGAGTGCTTGTTCAGTAACTGCGCAGAGCTGGTGGGCAGCACAGTGGTGGCTTTTCACTATAAGTTGCTGTTAAGTGTGCAGCAGCAGAACTGTGCTGCGTTACAGAACCGGTGGAGCAAGGGTGGTCCCTGTCTTCACCTCTGTTCAGGGCAGGGTGCTACTGGGAAGAACTGTGAAACCAAGGCAGGTGAAACGTGACAGCGTTTGTGGCTTGCTGTAGCTGTGCATGGCAGTTCTTCTCTGTAATGGGTCTGGATAGCTGTGGCTGCTCACCGTGTATAAACCGTGTACTGCTACTCTTCCACAGGAGCAGTTACCCTGATCACAAGGATGGGGAAGATGTGGAGGTGCCTGGAGAGCGCCCAGCAGAGAGAGAGTTGGATTATGATGATGACACCATGGAGCTGATCCTTCCTTCAGGTAGGCATAGGATTTGTGTTATGGCGTACTTTGTCTGCATTTCTCATAGCTGCAGCCATTACCTGCAGTATAGGTCATTATTGTAAGTGTTTTCTTTGGCAAGGGAGAAAGTAATTTTGCATCGAAGTATCTTTGGGGTTTTGTCCTCACCTTTCAGGGGGGTTCCTTTGCCCACTTTACCTCTTTATTAACGTGTGACTCTCATGGTGTACTCCAGGAGCTTCCATATCTTGTTTTAGTGCAACTTGGAGAGGCTATAACTTAGGTTATCTAGTGTAGGTTTTTTTGCTGAGAGGCACCTGGTAACTAATTTAGTAAACTAGTTCAGTAAAATTAATTTATTTAGACAACCTTACTCTTGCCTTGTATAGCATTTGTCACTCTTGCTTGCTTTTTTTGTTGTTATGGTGGTTTTTGTATGAGGGGATCTCAGCCCCTTCATTCTGAAAAGTGCTGCCAACTGTGCAGTTACAGAAGATTTCCTGAGTGTCAGCAAGTTTCTTCCCTGGTTACTTGAAACAGCATTGCTTTTCTACTCATTTCCCTATTTAAAATTTTTGTTTCTGATAACTGCATATTTGTTATCTGAGCTAAGGCACTCTTGAACAACAGCACTCTCTGGTTTGTTTTGGGGTTTTTTTAAGGTAAGAGTGCAGTATAGCAGCTCTTACAGTAATTACATTGAGTTCCTAGTAGTCCTAAAGTTTTTAAGGTTCTGGGCCTTTTAAAAGCATTTCTCAGCATAGGGTTTTCCACAGTTTTCACAATATGCTTGAATACTGCATTTCAGAAGCTGCTTCATTATGCATAATAAGATGTCCCCTCCTCTGAACAGGTGCAAGAGTGGGTCATCGTTCTTTAATGAGATACTACAAGCAACGGTTTGGTCTGTCAAGAACGGTGGCTGTTGCGAAAAATAAGAAAGCGGTGGGTCGGGTGTTACAGCAGTACAGAGCTTTGGGCTGGACAAGTCAGACAGGTAAGTGACAACGTGAGGTTTTTGCAGAGGAGGAGGTTCTAGGATGTCATCACTCTACAACTGAATGGGCTTGTTTCACATTTGTGGGGTTTTATGCAGTAGTTTGTCTTCCACTCAGTTCCCTTTCATTCCTGACATGCAAGCAGAATAAGTTACAGGAAGTTGTTTGTGTCTAAAATCCATTGCAGCTTCTGTGCAAGCCCTTCAGTTCATTAGCATGTGTGTTTGTGGTATTTGGTGAATTCCTAAGATTTGTCGGTTTCTGCCTGTCAAAACCCCTACTCTTGCTATCTAAGAATGTAACATAAACCATTCTTTGACAGTTAGAATACTTTTCCAGTTGGGGAGCAGCGATGGGATCTATATCCACTTTTGAAATAAAAGAATCGCACATTGGAATGCAAAACAACCTTTTCCCTTCATCACGGTCATGGGTATTCATAGAGGGAACTGGCCTTTCCCAAGGGAGAAGTGAGAAGAAGTGTGCTGGTATGGGAAGGAAAACATAGCTAACTGCTGATGTAAATGGACAGATTAGCTGGTTTGCATCTACGTAGTAAATAAGCTTACAGAGATTTATCCCTCTTTCTCTTCCTCCTCTCTCCCTGAAGGGGCAGTCTTTGCTCAGCAGCGTGATATGCAGTACCTGCAGAGGATGAAGTCAAAGTGGATGCTCAAGACAGGAATGAGTAACAATGCTACAAAGCAGATGCATTTCCGGGCGCAAGTCAGATTCTGAATTCCCAAGAGAGCTGCATGCAACTGGTTTTGGGAAGGGGGATTTAATGGTTTCTGGGTCGAGGATTCTCTTATTACAATGGACTTGGTACCCACCAAATGGGGATGTGTATGCTGGTGTGCTGCCTTCTTTATGAGAAGAAGAGCAGGGAGCTTGTCTCTTCCAGTGAAATGATGGTTGGCCTAACTTAAAAAATAAAATATCTTAAGTGGAATTTGTGGCAAAGTAGTCATGGCTATGAATAACAATGTGTGCATAGTCTTGTTGCCCATCTTTGTGCAACTGCCCCATTTGTGGGGCAGTTGACATTGTCATTTGTCTGAATATCTTCAATTTCCAATTCTGCAAAATGGTTCAGGCCAAGAGAAGATCCTAGATCTAAGAGCCTGAGATGGAGTGTATTGAAGGTTTTCACCTGTGGTGCCAGACACAAGTTAGTTGGCTGTTTGGACTTCTATTGAGGTGAATGCCACAGGAAGATTGCTTTTTGTTTGCCTGTCCATTCATCGTGAAGGCAGCTGCAGCTGGTTACAGTCAAGTTGCGTTTCTGCATTTTAGGATTACTCTGGATTCCCTTGTAGTGGCTTTCATTGGCATGAGTTTAATGTAAGTATTCTTCCTCTCCTATGAATGGTGTGTGCGTAATGTCACTGGGAATGGTAGGGGGAGACTTTGTCAACTAACACTGTATTTTGACCTCTTAAAATAATCCACTAAAGTCTCCCTAAGAAGTAAGTTTGGAAAAAGTAGTACTGTTGGTATATCAGCACTTCTGAGAGAGTGGTATATTTATGGGACTCTTAGGAAAGCGATCATTTCACAGTGGAGGTGCATGGTATGTATTTTTTGTTTTGTCTGTGGTGTTTTGCTTTTTTGTTTTTTTTCTTTTCTGAGTAAGTCCTGCTGCCTTGGAAGTTTTTTGCTATTCCTGCTTTTACTGAGAAGACAGAACTTGATCAGTAGTGCAGGCTGTAGATTTGACGTAGCATTTACTAAGTCAAGTGACTAATACATTAAAAGGTACAGATTTGAGGGAAGGGGAGACTGAAGCAGAGTTTTAAAGAAGGCTGTGTTCACATCCAAAATCTTAAACTAAAGTTGGGTTGATAAATGAGTACCTTTTTTCCTGGCAAGGCAGAGTTACTGCCATTGTGTATCCATAGCTGCATCTAGCTCACATTTGAATTTATTCTGGAGGGTTTGCTCTGAGTTATTGGGCTTTACTCTCAAAGTTAGAAGTAAGAGATCTAGTCTCAGCGATGTGACTCAAGCTACGTGAATCTTAAGACATTATATCCTTTGTTACACTCATAACCTGGCCCAACTTGCAATTATGGTATGGATTTCTAGCACTGAGGGAATATCCTACTTGTATTTGTCAAGCCTCAACATCTGGCCCTTGGGAACTGCTCATATCTTTTTCTTTGAAGTTAGAGATTACTATCAAAGGGTCTTATGTTTATGGACAAGTTAGATTGTCTTTACACCTAGAGCAAAATGAAATGCCACAAAAGGTAGACATGGAAGGGTTAAACTTCTTAACCAGAACCTTAACTTGGAGCCTGCTGAACTGGCTTTGAATACCAGCGTATGTCAGCAGTGAGCATCAAGGCAGTATTCAGTCTGGAGCTTTTGGAAGACACTCATGGAATATCCAGAACTTACATTAAGGACAGGACAATCATCCTGGAAGAGTCTTGGGCATAACCTAGTGCAGTTGCTGAAGTCTTAGAGGTAGGTGTTAAAAGGAGTGTTGGCAGCGAAGGCAGAAATACAGGGAGATAATTGGTCCAGTGACAAATGACTCTGGGTGCATAAGGTTCAGGCTGAAGGTGCATGCAGTTTGCTGCTCTCCTCAACATGAAAGGGCAACCAGAGGAAACTCCTGCTGCCTGTACAGATGTGCTCAAGAAAGCCTGCTGCTTATGAAAAGATGGGGATTCCCTGAATTTCCGGAACAGTCTAGTTGAGAAAGAAATGCAGGTAAGCAAAACTGAAAACCGGTAGTCATTTGGCAAGTCACAGGGAAGCCAAAGGAAGTAATTTGTATAGTATGCACCTATGATTCTCTCCTACATGTCTTACTGCAGTTTAGTTGGAAGAAAATGGAGGAGAGGTATGGAAACCTGCTGGTATTTTTAAAAGAAGAACTTTAACTCTTAAGCTGAAAATGGGTGCCTTGGAAAGCCAGTAGAGGGCATAGGAAAGCTTTTCGCAGAGTTGTGTTTACTATGAAAATAAATAAAGTCTAGTAAGAGTACATTCATGCGGAATACCGGTAGGGTGAGAAGGCAAAGCTCGCCACTACTGTGAGTTAAGATTAGCACTAGACTTCTGTGAGATGACTTGCTATTAATATCTTTATGTAGGTCCAGGGAGAGCATTGCTAGCAAAGGGTAGCCAGAACAAGTATGCAGATTTGTCTGCAGTATTCAGCAAGTGCTGCAGTCTGCACAGCTCGTAGGTAACTCCAGCTATGTCAAAGGATCCGAGAGTATTTTCATTAAACATGCTTCACAGTGTTACGGTTTAGTCTTTTACCTCCCTAGCCTAAATCATAAAGATTGTAGAAAGGATAGCTAGGGCAGTTTTTTGTTTCCTAAAGGAATTCCAAATGATGACGGTTCCCATCAAGGAGCTATGTTTCCAGCTATGCCCGAGCCTTGCATTTGTGCTCCCCTGCTCTGACCTTGCGTTTTCTGGCTCTTACGATCAGAATGAGAAGAAAGTAAAGTCTCGCAGCAACCAAGTAGAATTGAGACTGTCTCTGGATATAGTGGGTTCTCTGGGGCAAGAATTTCCCGGTATGATTGTAATTCAGTGGGTTTGCTGTTCCCAGAGGAGGAGATGGTCCCTTCTCAAGCTGGTGCATCCATAGCAGGAAAGGCTGGGGAGAAGCGTAGAAAAGGTATCCCGTTTGGGGCAAGGTTGGGGGTCTGCCTGCCTGTCCATCCAGTAAGAGCTGAATGTTGAAGTGGTCCCGATGCTGCGTCAGGCATCGCAGAATGAATCAGCAGAACGAAAGAACTGGCAAAGCTGATAGAGTACATCTGCCGTCTCCTTTTGGAAGTAGTTCTTTTGTTTTGTACACTTAAGTTACCTAAAGGCAACCCAAGTGGTATGAGAGGGAAAAACATGTACCCATTATCTGGAAGGGAGAGGCTAGGAAAGAGAGAGAAGCGTATGGGATGTAGAGTGGCAGAGACACAGGAGAGTCTGATACGTAAAACCTCCTAACAGCTTATTACGCTGGAGCTGCAAGCCAACAAGTAAAGATCTATTTAAAGTGAGCACTCCCTTTAAGAGTGCGTTATTGATCCCTAATGGGTTTCCACAAGGTAGAGGGCCTGAAAGGTAAAGGAGTTGGACCATTGCCCAGCTAACATCTGATGCTTGAGGGGCATCGGATTGAGATTCTTTGCTACAACTTGTAAGAGTTATTTTTGATCTATTAAAACTGAGGCATCCTGTGCTAATGCGCTTCGTCTGCTCAGGGGTTTGGTCATTTTCCTCCACACTATCTGCATAAAGCTGCTGGGGGAAAACTGCACTTCAGAGACCCGGGTGGGTTTATACTATTATGACCTGTAATAGGTGAGAGGTTAGAGAGAAGCTTTAGGGCACATTTGACTGAAAATTAAGAATATATCTTAAAAGCTTTGCATCTTAGTGGTTAATTGCTTTAGCCCAACTGACTACCTACCATACTGCAGCTGGAAAATAGCAGACTGTCACCAAATCCTGACTCCTCAGCAGCTGGCAGAGCCTGGATAGTTAAGGTGACCAGCTGATGGCACTTCATGTGTCAGAGCAAGCCAAACCATCTCTTTTCAGGAATCTGACCCAGAGGAAATTTCTGTTGTTTCTCCCACTGCGTCCCAAACTGTCCTGCGTGAGATGCAGCAGCCAGGGACTTCAGGAGCAACAGAAGCAGTAATAGGAGACCTGTAGCCAGTTTTATGTGAAGGATTTCTGCATGTGTCTCGGGTACCAGACTAAAAGCAGAGTAATAAATGCTAGCTGAGCCAGGAGGGGAGTCAGAATCACTCTCCTCTAAAAGCAGTCAGTGCTTCCCAGTGTAAAGTTATGTGACTCTTCCCAAAAGCAAAAACAGATCATTAAACAGGATTTTAAATAATGACATTACCAAACAAACAGTAATGTCTTTGTGCAGTTCTCTGATGCAAGAAAAAGGTTTGCGTAACATTACGGTGCATTTTCTGTCACTCATTACACTTGTGTTGGAGTCATATTTACTTCCCACTTTGCTGGATTTATTTTTTCAACTTTTTTATCTTTGCCAAGAATTTACAGTGGTAAATTACGTAACCTTGGGTATGGAAGTAAGAGGTTTGCTCCTCCTGCGTCATGTGTTAATAGGCAAAAGCGAATGTGTACCAGGACTCAGAAGAAGTGTGTATTCACATTATAAGATGACCTCATATCTTAACATTCCTTTCTTGAAGGAATCTTAGGAAACAGGTCTGGGTAGGAATTACTGACAATCAATAACCTGAATAACAGAATTAGCAGCAGCCAATGCTATTGGTTAAAGAAGGAAAAAAAGAAAATCTTTACATTTCTTAGGAGCTCTAGAGACCACAAAGAATAACCTAATGTTTTACAAAATGAAATTTGTAGCAAGATACATTTCTCCTTGGAACACATATTCCTTTATTCTTCCAGCTCAATTTTATTTTAATAATTAAAGCATGCCTGGAAGATCCAGGTAGAAGTTTACAAAACTAAGTGGCTCAGTCAGTAGTCACCCAGACCAACAGAAGTTACATTTCTACAGCAAATGGGTAAACCAAGCACCTCAGATGCATAAGAACAGTGCTGCAGGATAGGCTAGCACTCAGCTCTGGGGACATTTTCCAGCAAGCTGGGAAGGAAAAAGGAGTCTTTCTGAGCATACAGCCTGTGGCACATCGTCTGCAGTGCTCTGGAGGGGATTTCAGCCTCTGCAGCACGCTCATGTCAGGCTCTGCAACACACGCAGTTGCAGCCCCAAATACCAGCTGAGGCCCGAGCATGTGTCCTTGCCTCAGTTTCCTCTGTTACTTGTGGTTCTTTTAAGCTAGAAAA